GCTCTGTGCTCTGTGCTCTGTGCTCTGTGCTCTGTGCTCTGTGCTCTGTGCTCTGTGCTCTGTGCTCTGTGCTCTGTGCTCTGTGCTCTGTGCAAGTCACAGCAAGACAAGCCCAAGAGAAAATCACCCAGCGCCACACCTCTGCATACTAAGACTCATAGCCAGAAACATCAGGTGGCAACAAGACTCTTTCCCTCTCTGCTCCTCTCAGAGCCCCTGCAGAACAGCAACAAGGAAAGGGTTTTGTACAGGGCTGGACAAACCCACAACCCCCACAGCCCTCCAGCACTGACCCTGAAACCACAGGCCCACTGACAAGTTAATCAGTACCTCTCCTAGGTAGATAAAAGCCAAAGGCTGGAGGGCAATGGCCGAGAAACAGCCCAGTGTTCTGTCAACAAAACCCAGTGCGGTCTCCCTCCACCTTCACCCTTCTCTTCAACACCACAAGCCAGCAGGGAGCCAAGCCCACAGCTCCTCAGGCTGCACTGAGGCCGAGCTCTCGCGTGGTCTGGGTGCAGGCCAGCCCCCCTGTGCCCGCCTGTCGCCCATGCTGCTTGCCCGCGAGCGCTGGGAACTGTACAGCCCGGCCCAGAAAGCGCTCTCCCCCGAGACGTTGCCATAACCTGCCCAGAGTCAGCCACTGCCGGTGCAGCAGGCCGCAGCGGAGACGCAGTCCAGCTGAATGAAGCAAGGAGGAGGAACGGCTGCAAGGGCTGCAGGTTTTGACCAGGGCTGGGGGAGAGGGTGCCACTGATCTGAACAGGAGGAAGGAACGCATCACTGTTGGAGATCCGGAGCCCCGGGAGTCGCCTCTCTCTCTCCTAACTTGCAGAAGCACCAACACAGGACTGTGACCCAGTCAGGTCGGCGAACAGAAACCGAGACAACGTGCTGCCTAATGTCAGCAACGGCTGGCACGGGACATGGCTGAATACGTACAGGTACTAACTCCTCCCCAAGGGAGAAAGTCACCCAGCAAATGAACTGATCGTCAAGCAGGCAGTGAGGCCACAAGGTAAAGTAATAATAATAATGTAATAATGTTTCTTTATTAGCCCTATACAATTTCTTGCATTAGGAATTCGTCTTTTCGTATACCCCAGCTTTTCTCCATGGAGACACAGACACAGACAGGGAGAGAAGCTTGGGGTCAGAGCGCAGGGTCTGCCATTGTACGGCGCCCCTGGAGCAGTTGGGGTTAAGGGCCTTGCTCAGGGGCCCAACGGAGTAGGATTCCTCTTCCGGCCGCGGGATTTGAACCGGCAACCTTCCAGTCACAGGCGCAGATCCTTAGCCACAGAGCCACCACTCCGCCCGGCCTCTAGTAAGAACCCGGCCTCTCTGCCTGAGCTGGCTGGCCAGTAGCACTGCAGCGCTGCTTTCCCTGTCTCACACAGGAGATTCCAGCCGTCTTCCAGCACACAAGTGCATCCTGGTCTCGATCCCCAGAGCTGTGCAGGAAAAATCTAGTTTTTTTTTTTTCGGAAAATGCGCTTAAAAGACTGCCACGCGTGTACTTGGCATGTCTGCATTACAAAAGGTAAAGGGGTTTCAACGGGACGCAATTCCCTCCCAACACAGACACAAAGAAAACTCGGGGCTGGAGCTCGTCTCCCTGCCCGCTGCAAGAATGCAGCAGTGCCTGTTCAGACAGAGATCCCGCTGTTCCGCCTGTGAACGCAGTCCCACCCCTACCTGAGCTATGACTCTTTCGGTTTCAAACTTTCAAGGTGGGAGGGAAGGGAGGGGGGGGGGTTGGCTTTTTATAATTGTTTTATATTATTTACTGCCCCCAACAACTTCGAACCCGTAACGCCGCTTCTTGCCTTATAAAACAAAACGAATCTTTACAAGCTCACTGCTGCGCCAGTAATCAAGGAAGATGCGACATTTCTTCAGTTTAAAAATGAAAGGAGCTCCAGCTGGGTCGCGTCACGCTCAATCACTTTCCGGAGAAAGTTAATATATACAATGAGTTCCTCATACAGAACGGCATACTACATGTTTTTCCTCTTTCTGTCACGCATATTCCCGTGGTCATTCGTGATTCCCAACGGCTGCCCGGTCCGTCCTGAGCGGAAAACGGAGCTTTTCATTGCAAGAAAACAGGGACCGACAATAGCGCCCGAAACTACCAGGAGCGCAGCGTGTGAATCAGTTTTGAACGAGCCCAGCCACCGAGCAGCAGTAGTCACAAAACCCGCAGGTTGCTTTACCTTTGCGTCCGAAGGAATTAGTAGTCGCGGCGCTGGAAGTCCTCGCTGCGCTCCAGCTCTTTCGCTCCCAGGAACTCGGAGGCTCACCGGAGACTCACAGCTCCTGCCTCGGCGTCATGGTCTCCGGGAACCGCGGCTGCTTGGCAGGTGATGTCGGAGCGTCACACCTGGCAATCAGGCACGGAGGCAGTGTTACGGGGGAAAGCGCGACTGCTCGCTCGATTTCCTCGGAAATAATGTCCCTGCTGGTAATAATTAACTTCCGTCAAGTCGGCAGACCTAAAGCTCCAAATTAAAAAAAAAAGCACGCACTACGAGGCACGCTGGATCGCAGGTGAATAACGTGTGGAATGGAAAACTTCACTTTTTTTTTTTGCGACTCGTTTAACGTTTTCATCAGATTTCCCAAAATAAAGAGCTCGGTGGCGTGATCCGTGTACCCGTCAAACTGTTAAAGACGCTGAAAGTTAAAAAAAAAAAAAAGCTGTTACATTCTGGCGTTATGTTTCAGTTTACCTACCTGTTGCGCCCACACCGACGCCGCAGAAAAGTCTAAAACAAGGTTTTGCCCAGCCGCGCTAGTCATCACTTTACTGGTCCCTTATCGCCCTCTTGTGGTCCGTTCGAGAATTGGTTAATACGTCTCAATGTTCCATAATTGATCCTGGTCTCTTCCGTCCGAACTACATTACCATCTCGCCGAAACCAAAAGCCGGGAATGAACTTCTTAAGAATGTTTAAGTATAGTCCGGTTCTTGATGTTGAGTAGACCAACGAGCCCAGATCATGAATAAATAGGCACAGATAATATCAAACATAAAAAATGCGTCAACAGAGAAATAAAGAACAGATTTATAGAAATGATAAGTGATGAAAAGGTGACATCAATGATGTTCAATGGTGCCAACAACACGTTCTTAGATGTTGTTTTTCAAATGTAAGTGGTTCTGGCAAAATGGCTGTAATTACTCAGATATTATGCTGAAATGTGACATGAAAGTGTTGGTTTTATTGGCCCTCAGAGCCGTGCAAAGTGTACATCGCTCTCCGAATGAAGCAAAGGGGCTGAAGAAACCGAATCTTGTTAGTCCTGGAGAGAAGTGACTGAGAAGGGAGTCGAGTCAAGTCTCAGGATCCTGGGATGTATCAATGATGTCAACCCACCGGTCAGATTACAGACGGACAGAGAAACAAGGACAGCAGGGACACAAGACAGCGAAACAAACGACCCAGACATATGGTCGAAATTTCCATCCTGATTTGTTTAAAAGTCTCACAGCCAAACAGCCGAGATGCGCCAAACAGCCTCCTCTTAGTAGTGATTTCTATTATGTTCTTAAACAAGTATCCTTCCCAAGTGCACCAGTTCAACAAGCTGTAAATACGGAGAGATGCAGGTGTCTGGAGCTCACCACCCTGCCATCCCACTAAAGAAGGTTCAATGGGGTCCTTCAGGAAAGGCTGGAGGAGATTCTCTATTAAACACTTGAAAGTTCAATGGGCTGTACTGCCTCCTCAAGTTCAGCTTTATGGAGTTCTTAGACTACCGATCAAGACTGCAAAGACAGAACAGAGTTACTGTAAATACAGCATAAGCCAGTTTTCTCTAGCATTACACAGCAAAGGTATTTACTAAGCAAACAGATCCGATTAAGTCAGCATATGGAACTCCATTGTACCAGGATGGGTGAGACAGCCATTACTGAAGCTATGTGAAGCCACGTGACTTTTAATTCAAATTGAAAGCTTGCAAGGCAGCATGGCGGCACGGTGGTGGTTACTGCACCCTTGCAGGAATGGGGCCCCGGGTTCAAATTCCAGACCCGGGGTGCTGTCTGTGTGGAGTTTGCATGTTCTCACCACGTCATGTGGGTTTCCTCCAGGTGCTTCGGCCTAATTCCACAGTCCAAAGACATGCTGGTGGGTTAACTGGCGTCTGGGGAAATGAGCCCTGATTTCGTGTGTGTGTGTGTGCGTGTGCCCTTTGACAGACTGGTGTCCCGCCCAGGGTGTACCCTGCCTTGCGCCTGTTGCAGGAGGGGATGGGCTCCAGCTCCCCCGCCACCCTGTTCTGGAAGAAGCAGTGAGAAAACGGATGGACCGAACTACGCACTAGGCCAAGGCTGGGATAAAGGAACCCCCTGTTCGGTTAGCTCAGTCTTGGGGGAGCCCCAGCAGCGAGCCGCGAGGTTCCCCTCTTCGCGCGAGTTACATTCGCGAGCCCAGCCACACGGGCAGGCTCGGCCTCATCAGCGAGAGCATCGGTTCTGTCCGCCTGGCCGGGCTCCACCCGCAGCCACGAGACACCCTATCCGCTCACAGATGGCCGTGCAGCTGCCGTGCCAGGAGAGAAAATACAAGCTGGAGCCCGGGGTTCCTGTTTCCCCCCCTGTTTATTAATAAACCCAGCCTGGGTGTTATCTGAGTGACACACAACAACACACCAGGGCTGCGAGGAAGAACGGAGGTCAGTAATTCTGCTTCTTTTTCTCCCCCGCGATGTTGCTTGTTTGAAAAAGAAAACCTGAAGTAAACCTATCGAAGGGTTTGTGACTTGGCCTCCGATATCGAAATGTATTTCATGGACGGCAGACAGGCAAAACAGGGGCTTGTAGCGGGAAAGATTTACTCCGTACCAAGAGTGGTTTTGTTCACCTGACAACCTGTTTTGAGCAGTCAGTTTGGAGCGCTGCCTCCCTGGCTGTATAACATTGAAATGAATTTTGCGTTGTGGGTGGGTTAGGGCTAAAGCCAGTTCCTTGAACACAAGCTCATAGTTGTAGCGACTGGAATGCGATGTCTACACGAGTAGAATATAGACCGAGTAGCAGAAGAAACTTGCTCTGAACAATGCGTGTGTGTTTCTGGCAAAACCAAAGACGGTTTTTGATTGGGGATAGATGCAGCTGGCTTCAGTTTGATTGGAGTGCTCATGAATGACATCGGCCCCCAGTGTTGCTGCTGCCTGAGCCCTGAACCCTTCTCTGCCGTGAGAGTGCTCACTGCCACATCGGCCCTGCCTGCCAGACCTGAACGCATTGAATGGTCGTGGGCTGAGCTGGGGCCATGTGTGGCAGCAGGGCTCAGGGTTCAGGAATCGGGCACATGCTTAGCCAGGCGCCGCGAGGATCCCACCAGACAGCATCTGCCACACAAGCAAAACAAGCAACACAGATGTAGGGCTTGACTTGCTTCCAGTGTAGCTGCAGACCTCCTGTTGATAACAGATGTTCATCAGCAGGATGAATCTATCTGCATCAATGCCAGTGAACCTGCTTCAACAAGACGAGCATTTTCCCGATGATGTGCGCTTGATGCATTTAAAAGTATGTGTGGCGCACAGCATTCATAGGCTTTGGAAACTTTTACACAGCTACAAAACAGCCTCCTATACACACACATCACAACCTTAGAAACGGATCCAATTTTGACTAAGGGATGACGAATGCAATTAAAACTGAAGCACTGGCCAAAATATTGGCAGTCCCACCAGAAAACGTATTGAACTTCAGTGAGCAGCAAGATCAACAAGATGTGGTTTGTCCCGAAAAGCCTGCAGCCCACACCCATCACATTCTTCCAACATGATCACATTTAATTGAAATAATGGCACAGCGCATTGAAGGATACACCACACCAGTTCCAGCTGGGAATTCTCTGACCACGGAAGACGATGGAAGTTTCTCTTATGCTCCTCAATCGTCTCGCATTTTTCACCTGGTACAGTCTATGCCTTTGACCTGGGTCCCTAACGTTTTGGTCACTGTGTGTAAAGCCTATTTTAAAAAAAAAGATAATATATAAGCCTGGCAATTCCTGGATGCCAGACAATGTTTAAGCTGTGTGATGTAGGGAAAAAAAAAGACTAGGCTTAGCTTTCACTTAACAGAATTGGACGGATTCCATGTTCTATTTTTACAAATAATTGAGAAATCACATGGGAAAAGTTGTACTGTGAGTCTTATTCTAAACTGAGCCTAGGAATCTGTTAGTCAAACCCTGACCTGAGCCTCCCAGTCACCAAGTATACAGTTGCAGCAGGGGCTGACTTTGTACCGTTCAACAGTCCAGACCAAAATAAGGTAAAAAGAGAATAACAGTACTCCACAACAGAGGAATCTCTGTTCAAAAACATAGCCACGAAAACAGCCTCGTGAAGACAAAAAGCTTAATGCTGAATGGAACTTATCTGACTGATAAAGCTAAATCTGTCCTACACAGACAGGAGTAAACACTGTAACGCTTGTGCAATAGGATTACATTGTTGCCTGCAAGACCACAAATTTCTTCACCGTCAACCTCTTGCATGTGAAGCAGTCAAGTGGGAATGGTGCTGCTGGCAGAGATAAGCCACTTCTAAACTTGTATAAGCCACTGCTGTCATGGACTTTGATATTAGTCTCCTGAGCCAGGCAATGTGGAGACCATGTCCGAATACTGTTCATAAACACATACAGTAGATGGTCTATATCGATACACTCCACAGAATCTTCTCTAGCCACCAAAGCTGTACTATGCAAAATGACCCAATTCCTGATTCATTCATGATGGCCATTCCCTACTAAACATCCACGACAGCAGTACCTGGTAGTGTTGCATCTGCGAAGGCTTTGACAGAGACCACGCTGTGCCAGCAAAAAGCACCAAGTGGGTCAGCCACTTCCCCCTTTCACTTAAACAAACAAAACCGAAACTTAATTCAGAGTGAGGGCGTCGATTCGGCTCCTGAAATCTCAAATTCCTGAGCACCACTCCAAATAAGAGCACAGTGCGACACCTGCAGGCGGGCCTAACCCTTCTGCGACCCGCCCGCCCTGCAGCACGGCGATGGACCAGAGTGATGCCCCGGTCTCCGGGGGCCCCAGCGCAGACGGCGAGGCCATGGCACAGCTGTGGGCCCGTTTCCAGGAGTGCATCGAGGCGGCGGGGCAGCTGGAGGCCCGGCGGGACGGCCTGGTCCGGGAGCTGGCCGAGCTGCAGGAGCCCATGCTGCAGGCGGTCTGGGGACTGCGGGAGGAGCTGCTGGCCGCCCACCAGCAGAAAGCCCGGGCAGAGGTGGAGTGCCAGAGCCTGCGAGAGGACACCCGGCTGGTCAAGCGCCGGCTCTTCGCGGCCGCCCGGGCCTGCGTCCAGTGCCAGTACACCCTGGAGAAGCAGAGGCACGATGTGGCTCAGCTCTCGGTCTCGCAGGAGGAGCTGCGGGCCCGGCTCCTCCAGCTCTCCCAGGAGCTGCCCCAGCTCGAGGCCGCCCACCAGGATCAGCTGGCCGCCCTTCGGGACAAACGGAGCAGCTCTGGGAGAGCCAGGGACCACTGTGACCTCTCCGAGTGCCGCAGGGCCTCCCTGGACCTGGAGCGGTACCTGAAAGACGAGAGGAGGAGCCTAGAGGGTTTCTACGAGCCCCAGCTGCTCGCGCTGCTGAAGAGGCAGCAGGCGAGCGCGGAGGCTCTGAGGAGGACTAGGGAGCAGGCCGCAGGCTTGAGGCAGAGGCTGTGGCCCCTGCAGGAGGAAGTCCAGAGGCTGATCATGCAGAGAACCTCCCTGGAGGAACGGATAGCCCTCATGCGGAGCAGGAGGAGCGAGGACGTCCTACAGTACCGGGTAAGGAAGCCCAGGATTTTAAAAATAATTTCCCCGCTGATCTTACCATTCAGTTTGAGAATGCATGGATGAGGAAGATGTAAGCAGAGGGGGTTGGGGAGGTGAATGTTAGTCAAGTTGTCTTTGTTCACTACCATCATCACGGGTGTGTATCCAACACGTTTTTTAACAATTCCCCGACGAGAATTTAAAAAAAAAAAAAGGAAGTTTATGATTTTGCAGCGATGGCACCGTGTCCCAAAGCTGTTTCTCTAGAAAAGAACTGCGTTCTCCTTCTATTCATTTCATCAGGAGACTATGGAAATACTAGAGGACAGCATCAGGGAACTGAAAACAGAAGTTCATCTGCAGAAGCAAAGAAATGAAGCCATCGAATCCCTGAGGAACAGTCTTTCAAAGGAACTAGCCGATTACAAGTAAGAATCATAGTATTTCATAACACCTCCATATCCTTGCCCAGCTATTAGATTTGGCCCATTCAACTCCCTTTTAATTTTTTAACTTCTACATCCCCAGATCTGCCTGCAATAAAAGTGTCCAGCCAAGTGTGTGAACTCTGACCACTCTTATTGGAACTTCCTGGCTCAAACAATATTCCAATATTCTCGTTAGTCAAAGATGAGCTTTGTTCTGCAGCACATAAAAATGAAAAGTTAGAGCCTTATAGTTTGAGTATCATCTGAAAAATCTTTTCTCAGACCGCAATCTGTGCTTACAAATTATCTTCAAAATTAGTATTTGAATGCAAGATCCTTTTTTAATAATGTAACCTCCACTGACCTTTACTGGGCAACTATGTTATAGTAATTTTCCCCACTGTGTTACAGGGACCATATTGAAGGATGTGCAGAACTTCTCACAAAGAAGCCTGATGAAACATGACCATCTGAATCGCTTCAAGGATGTTCTTGCAGTTTTGAAAATTGAAATATGTATATACCCTGGAAAAAAGACATGCCTCAGCCACTAAGCTTAAACCCAACACGACAGCAGGGTGCAGACGTAATCAGTTATTAAAAATACAGCAGGTTAAGAATAAATAGAAAAAACAATCTATTTGAATGCACTTTATACAATTAGCAGTTAAGTGGGAAGTGAGGGATATGATACAGGAAAGTCATATGTAAAAAGGTCACAATGCTGAAACAGGAAATTGACCCAAAAAAAAAAAACAAAGACGACACTAGTAGAAAGAACAGCTCATAAAATCAATCCACAAAGACAATACAAAGCTAATTTTCCGAGATAAAAACATTTTGAATCTTATAGAAAGTGATTTTTAAAACTGACGTACGTTTTGCTAACATGGAAAAGTTGAAAAACCTGAGTCGTCTAATCGGAGCAACATTATTTAAGCACAAATCTCCATGTTTAGTTTAATTTCTTTCAGAAGCTAGACTTGCTGAATTCATGAAGAGAAAAATTACCACCCCTTTACTAATACAGATTAAGGGATGTGTATTCCTAACCCATCAACACTGGGGCCCAATCAGCTTATAACACACCAGCATGCTCACCACAATTCATAACGAATAACATGCGATGAAGAATGCAGAAGATAACGGGGAATTTGTAAATGCCTAATGACATCTCACCTTTCTAAAAGCCTTAGAATTCCTTACCCCACAAAAACAAAAAGACTTCCGATCACACTGAGTCAGCCCTAGGTCTAGAACGAAAAAGGGAGCTGGATCCCCAAGCTAACAGTTAATTCAAAAACCATAAACTATTAATTGGTACATTGATTAAAAAACACAGAGACCAAAATGTGCAATAGACAATCTCAATCTGCAGGGGCAAGAAAGGCTCAATAAATCTACAACAGGCATTTTTTCCGGTTATTTTCCCGGACTGAAAATAACAGCATTAAATCAGCAAGTTTCTTTCTTCAGTGTTGCAAATGTCAGCTCCGCACCAACCCTTAACAGCTGAGAAGGTCCCCTGAACTTTGACTCATGAGTCAGTTTTATAAAAAGTTCTTCCCTACAAAAATTACAATATTATTCTTTTTTATGTGTTTTCTATATATACAGAGGAATTAGTTGTCCACATGTTAAAAATACACTTGATATTACAGCAATAAGAGGGGCAGTTTTTCTTCAGGATGTAGGATTTTTCTTTCACTTTAGGTTGCCTCTGCCACTGTTCGTTCCACAGCAAAACGGTTCCTGGTGAATTAAAATTAGCTTTGTATGCCACTGCGTCTGTAATCTTACAAGTACAGGGGACAGGAAAAGGAGAAGCTTTTTGCGTTTTCCTCATCCTTGTACTTCTGCATCTGCTGTTCCCTCTGGGTCTTCGTCATTGTAAATGTTCTCAGCCTGAAAAAGCAAACATGTTTCACGTGAGATGACAGCATCTGATGTCTGTACTTTTTTCAGAAGAGCGACCCACTTATTTGTGTCCCCCAGCCCTCGTGCACATTTTTGTTCCAGGATTTAGCTACAGGGTGTTTGGGATATAAAAAGTTTTGGATTGACCAAAAAGGACTAGACCATCTCCGGAGCTCCGGGGCTTCGCAAAAGTGCATTCTGCCCCTCCGCTGCCCTGACGCAGCGCTCGTCCTCGCTGCTTTGTTAAATACCGTCAAGCCTCACAAGGCAACTCCAAACTAAAAAGGCCTACAAGGTCAGGCAAAGGTCACAGTGAAGCACCGCGAGAAAGCCGAAGCGGACAGAGACTCTCACCATCTGCCACACTTGCATGATGTTGTCTTCTGACACCGAACAGATGACCCAGGGCTCGTTGGGGTTCCAGGAGAAATCGGAGATCTTGGCTGTGTGGCCGCCGTGGATGAACTGAGAAGTGTGTAAAGAGCAAGGATTAGGAGGTGCACTCAGTACTCATGCAGGGGCTCTGAGATGCCCTTGGGAAACACAGTTAGGGGTGTGTGGCTCCTTCAAGATCCCCGTCTACTAAGCAGACAGCAGACAGGTACAGGAACCAGTGGTATCTCTGCTGAACCTGCCGGCATGTAATCTTTTTCTCTCTTTATATTGGTCATACTGTACTTTTCTCCCCAAGGACATTCTCTTGAAACATTACCAGCTTAACAACAGAGGTTTCCCAGGGGGCTCAAAAATGATTAAAGATTATTCTCCAAGTCCAAGGAGGGAAGGCACCCAGATGTCAATTAAATTTTGTCCTATTACCAAAATGACAATGCAAGTGAGTACAGAGGGCATCTTCCCATACAGCTTCCTCAGATTGGAACTGCTGTAGGACATGCAGGATGAGAAGGGGGTGTTCCAAGAGCCTTTAGTCCCCATTCCTCAATAGATTCTCCAAACAATGTCCCAACATCTGATTGTGTAGGGCACCGATAAGCAACCTGTGGCCCCATCCAATATGCACCACTACACAACTCTGCTATAAGTAGCCTCAGTTATTGACAATCCAGAGAATCAATGCAGTAATTAAGGAGCTACTTTCATGAAGCAGCATGGAAGACCGCAAGCTGAGTGTCCCTGCTCCAGCGGAAACTCACCAGGAGTTCGGGGGGTCCATCTTCAGCGTCCTCCGGCGACTGCTCCTCGCCAATTTTACTGCAGAAAGGAAGCATGCACAACGAAACCGGGTCAGAGAGAGCAGAAAGGGGGGTAGACAAATCCCATCATTTCTCACAAGATGACAACTTCCGACCCAGTGCAGTCTTTAGTCTGAAATCTACTGCAAAAAATGACCATTATGAAAGATGGTGGTGGAGCAGCTAGCGATGCTCCAAGAGCTTCTGGGTCCTGGGCGTGATTTCAGTCTGGTGTGACATTTGCATGCTCTCCCACCTTCCAAATACAAGCTGGCTACGCTAACCGGTGTTTCTAAATTGTCCTACAAAACACTGGCACCTTCAGGGTGTAGTTCTGCCTTGCTTCCTGTGGACAGCCGACGGATTCTGGGTCGCACCAACCCTTATCAGGAATGAGCAGGTTTAAAATAATGGACAGATGGATTAGAGGTAGTACAGATGTATTTGTGATATTACACTCACTGTAATATCAGAATAATGAGGAATTATGTTTAAAAACTTGACATAAAGGCAACTTCTTTTTCCATCCTCTTTTAAGTGCTGAAATATAGACTGTGTGGCAGAGGTAGTTTTAAAATTGTGGTCTCAAGTAAATAAAAACACCAAAAAAGAGAAGGGTTTTAGCTTAAATGTCCTATCTGTTCTAGCTCTCTCTTCTGATAAATTGATTTAAGCTGAAATTGTAAGAGATTTCTATAGTTACACAAAATAGAGAAATGGTAATAGGGACCTTTAAGATCACAGAAAGCATGAAGTAACATAACCCATCCCTAAAGCTCTATACGTTGTGCAACAGAGTGTCCAGCTCTTAAAACCCACCTCTAAAAATACACTCCGAGAGTATTTGCAGAGGCTGCATTTCATCAATAACAATATGATGCATCACTGGGTTAAATACACACACGGGGCAAAAAAAACAAAGAAACCTCAGAACAAAAGGCCTATTGTGCACAGAGTGATGAAATACTACTCTTCTCAGATGTCAGCAAAAGCAGAGGCTTCATTTTCGTAGTGTTCGTTAGTAAGAGACAGTACAGAGACCCAATGGGAATCCAAGCATTAGAGCTCTTTAAATCACCATGGACAGCTACCGACATGAAGGATTTCAGATTTTACAGGGGTCTGTGCCCAAGTTAAACTCATACAAATGACTACTGTAACATCCATTTATTTTGCATGTTCTGAACATCCTTACTAGCACTTTTAAGATTGTGCTGGCTGAATGAACTGAGAAATAAAGGATAAGAAACAAAGAACCAGTGCTTACGAATCCTTGCATGCGTTTGTAAGGTTAAAGTTTTCAAACTACCCACTCAGGAGAATGTGAAAAATAACCTATCCTTCTGTAAAAATGTTTCACTGGCTCTGCTAATAGATTTCTTTAGAGCTTTAAACTGGCAGATTAAAAAAAAGACACTGGATAATACAGTATATCTGAACTGTACAGTTTGCATTTCTATATTAAGAGTATTGAGTTACTAGTGTACTTTAACCTTTGAAGTATTTTGTAATGACATATCTGCCAACCCCACCCAAAAGCAAACTCGTGGATAACTGCCAAGAAGAGTCACTGCAGCACACCATCCAGCACGTGTTAGCTTCCTTAGCTGGCGCCTTTAGCTACTTAATCTTACATTCAAAATAAATTACAAAGTGTCAAGAATAAACAGTGCAAAAATGCATAATATACAGAATAAGAGCAGCTTTATCCCCCTGTAGCCTGACGTCTAAACCTAAACAATGTCAGGCCTGGAAACGTGAGGGACGTGAGATCTCTAAGGAACGTCGGCATGCTGCTGTCAGTTGTGTTGGTGGACCAGCAGGAGGTGCTGTTCTCTCTAGAGAACAATTTCCACACCCACATCCCATTATGGAGACACTGTGCCACTGGGGGGCGCCATCCTTCAAACGGGGTATTAACCTGCGGTCATTAAAGATACCTTGAAACTCTGAGAGTAAGGGTCCAGGCAAAAGTGAGCCCCGTTCATTTAATCTGGCCTAAAGCCCCCCCCCCCCCTTAATTCGATCAATGAAATAGTTCCTCATGCCTCCCACTGATCTGTTCTGGTGCTACAGGTGCACACTGGTCACCCAGGTGGGCCCTGCACTTCAGCAGAGGGTGAAGTGGCTCCCCTTGTGTAAGTGAAGCAGTGGGCAATGAAAAGTACGATGTAAATGCAGACTGGTTTAAACAAAAGAAATCTGTGAATACAGTAATTTAATGTAACGAAGGACCAATCAAACACAATTGAGAGATACATCTCTGACATGAGTCTTAGGCTCTAAAGGGGTGGTTTATCAGTGACTGAAACAATTCAAAGCACACAAAGTCATCTAATAGCACAATCTAAATTAGGGAATAAGCAACTCCACTCAAATTGCATAGATACTAGGATGACTACCCGATGACAACCTAGCAAAGGTGATTTGGCTTATCTACAAGAATCGGCAAGACCAGAGCTGCCCATCCCTGATGAAAGAGAGGAGAGGCAGGCTACATGCTGCTGCTCACTCCCAGTGAGGATTGACTGACAAAACCGACCTGAGATCCCAGACGTTGAGTCTCCTGTCGGTGCCACTCGATGCCAGGATGGTTTCATTATGAGGAGACCACTGGACCTGAAGGGGAAAAGGCAGAGAATTCATGGTTACTTAATCGGTGATCAAGATGGGCTGGAAATGTACACAAGGCTTCACAGACTCCTGCTGTCACACAAGTTTGCTGCGTAGAACAAAAAGGGTATTAACTATTCAAACGAGTTGAGGAAAAAGGAATCCGCAATTGAATGTTTGTAAATTGAGGGAAAAGGGCAATACACACTTTAAACATTAAACACATAAAGAATTAAAACAGAGTTTTAAGAAAGCCTACCTGGAAAATTTCATCTTTATGAGACTCAAAGGAGTGCAACTTCAGTTTTAAGTTCCGCAGATCCCAAAGAGCCACAGTCTGGAAAGGCAATGATAATAACATAAATAAATCTGAGGCCAAAATTATTACCACAAGGAATTTATGAAAATACAAAACAACCAAATGAAGGTGTATGTAATTTCTATTCAAGTTAATATGTAAAGACACGTTCCTCTGAAACAAGATCCAGCATCAGAAAAAGCATACTAAATGAAAAACAATCCTAAAACTACAGTGCTTCCCAATGTCTTCAACTGTTGTTGCTTTTAAGCTGCAGTCATATTTTGAGGAAACAATTCATATTTCCTATATACAAATATATTTTATTGATGTATCCGATTGACACTTAAATCACACAATGAGGGTTTAAAAGGACATTTCTGTTCTTTTAAGATCAGAAAAGGTCTGCAGCCCTTTTCTGTACAAGCCAATACCAGGGGCCAGACACTTCGCACGCTTGAAGAGTTTTGGTGAAAGCCAGCACGAGTGAAACTTCCACCTTCTCCTATGAAAGGTCCCCATATTAAGAGGTGAAGAGCAGGCCTGCTGCCTGTGTGACATGAGGCATCAGTAAGGAATCTGCTCTCACCTTGTCTGCGGAGCCTGTGGCCAGGATGAACTCACTATAGGGGTTGAAGGACAGGCAATTGACTTCAGCAGTGTGGGCGTCCACAGCATGGCTGGGCTTGGACGTGTTGTTTGACCTGGTGTCCCAGCTGTAAAAAAATGTTTTAATTAAACAAGGTTCCACCTCCTGCGGACTCGGCAAAAAAGCTCATCACCGTGAACTAAATTTAAAGTGTGTCTTTTACAAATAATGACTACCCCTTTAAAGCAACGTCTGAGACAAAGCTTTCAGTACCTGAAATGGGAAAAGGTTAATCACATTCATCACAGCTTACATCATTTCAGAATGAATGTTTTTTTCCAAGTTGTAATTTATGAGTTTTCTTTTGCCTAAATGTAAAGAACTCAGATGCATCAGAACATCAAAGACACTATGTGAAATAATGTTGCTGCTGATGTTTATTAGCTTTTGCACTCTTGTTTCTTTCGCAGGTTTGACGTATCTATTGGTGTGTGTCGTAGCGGGGACTTGAGCCTACATCATGAGCTTCTGGTCGTCAGCGACCGATCCGAACAGAGACTCGTGCAGGAGGTGCCAGGAAACGTCCTCCACCACAGCTGTGTGTCCAGTGAAGATGGTCTTGGCGTCCACCACCTTCCCCTCCTTCGGAACAGTGCTGATATCCCACAGGCAGATAGTCTGTAAGGTACACAATGCACACCATTGGAGAGGGAGACTGACAGTGTGTCAGCTCGCACACTACAAGGACGGTGTAGGAGGACTTTCCTTATCAGGTGGAGGTCTGGGAATAAACACACTGGAAGCTGGGCAGAAGTTCAGAAATGTACTTTCCAGTAACAAAAGACACACACACTGAATGTCAAGCTCTCGAGAAGTACCTTGGGACTTGGTCTGTGCTCTTATTCAGGGAAATGGGCAGTATTGCAAGAAAATTGCAACTGTATTAACCTTACTGACAGTTACGCCACCTTTGCTCATTAACCCTGAGTAAACACAGCTGGGAACTTTCTATCTTCTCCTGCTTCCCATGAATCCTGATAGCCAGGTGGTGCCAGCCTCCATGTCAGGCTACTCCTTAACTTGCCTCCCTAAGATAACAGGCTTATGTTTCATTTTAACTGAACTCCCACATACCCAGTGGAGGTCCACTCACATGAACTTCCATTTTATACTTAATGTTAAACAAAAAGCAACAGAAGAACGGTAGCTTATTCGCTCATTTACCCTCTAACAACTATAGCAACTGCTAAAGAGACTTCAGCTGGCAGCACTTAGTACTTCGAACCACTTCAGGCTTTACATGCAAAAGAATTATTTCCATCTGGAATGTCAAGATCAACATAAACTCGAGGTGGTGGCTGTCAAAACTCAAAGTAACAAGTAAACAAGGATTTTTCCTTGTTCCTATACCATCAAGCCTGTCTAAACAGCTTATATTTTAACAGAGATACTAATGTGATTTTAATTACAACAGATGAAACCTTTAACTATTTTATATTAATATTTCACTACAGCAGGCTGACTGGGTGATCAGGTTTTGCTGCTGAACATCATTGATCATTCGTGTTCTGTACCGAGGATGATTACTGATGAGAAGCAGGGAGTTCCATCAAGGAAATGTCTTTCTTCAAGCAAGTGCGAAGAACTCCTCAGTGACACAGTGTAAGCAAAAGGAATGGGCCTCTTACGTGATCGTCGGATGCACTCAGAAGGTATCCGCTAAGGTTGGGGTTCCAGGACAGCCCGTACCCCTCTTTCTGGTGACCCCTCAGTCGCAGGTCAGGATTGCACTCGCCAGAGGGGTCTGCACAGCAACAGTGACACGAGTGTTACAGAACTCAGCACCTCTGAGGCGCTGTTGTTTTAAGAAAAACACAAGTATCAATATAACAGCAGGAAACAATGGCAGTGAATTATTATAGTTATAAACAAGAGTTATAACTGAATACGATATAAATCTCAAGGGGAATACAGGACGTGGCTATGGAGTGCATAAGATGATCCACACTGTATCTATTTCAGCTCAGGGAGAAGGCAACGGGATTCACTTGCGGTTTTTAATAACCATCCTTATGAAGACTTGAAGACGAAGCTAACGCCCAATGTAATAAAAAACAATTCATTGTTTTTAATGTTCCGGGAGAAAGGCTGGCAGTGCATTTGGGAATCCACACTGGAGACCTAATGGAGTTTCTACATGCTGCTGTCAGAGAGGGACAGCTGGGCTTCTGTACATTTGGGGAGGAAGAAAGAGATGAGACGGACAAAATCAAGATTGTTTCCGTAAATTACGCTGCTATTCTATTTGATACTATTCAAGCAGAATTTGAATTCAAGTTCCCAAAACCTGAAACTGCCAGCAAACCCATGACAGGCGTTCAATGAAGTACAGGTCCCCCGCTAAAGATCTGTTCTCTGGAGTCAAGTGGCACAACAGGGAGGATAACACATAGCCCCGCCTACCTGGCTTAGAGGGGTGTTTTGTGTAGTCGAACACCAGCACGTCGCTGGTGGGGGTTTTGGTGGCGATGATGCAGGGGTTCTGGGGCATGTAGCGAGCGCGGTTCACCTCCCCCTCGTGGTTGATCTTGATTTCGATCTCGATCTTCCCGCTCACCGAGCCGAAACCGCCGAACTCTGGAACGCCGAGTGCCGGAAGGGAATCTCGTTAAAACTGCGCTGCCAGCGGGAAGGCTGGGACTTGTCCCGGACTTACTCCTGCCGTTCCCGACCCGTGAACCGCGCGGGAGAGAAAAGCGGGACGCGGGATCGGACTGAAAGCTCAAACTGTCACCTCTCCATCCCTGTCACTGTGTGGAACAGCACCAGTCATCCCGTGAAGTCACCCAACACACACGCGTCTGTGCACAGGCTCTGCTGTATTGTGCAAATAAGGACTTCCCTAAATTATAAAGGCTTACTGAGTCCAGATTGTTTCTGGATTATGTTAATACAGAATATAATATTTTGCCTCCCAAAAGCCAACGGTTTCTTTATTTAATCACAGCCTTCTCAACTTCACGAACACAGCACGTGCACTTCATAATTCTGCAGTAAGCTAAGTTTACACTGTGGCCTGCCTGACGCACAAAAAAACTAGATTTTACACATCAGCACGTATGAGAGCACAGTCTTCCATACTACAATTTCAAGCAGGCCAGCGGCGTTCCCACCTCCTTTCTCGCTGTCGTAATGGGAGGCGTCGAACTGGGCGTCATCGTTGGGCAGCTGCACGCTGGCGATCACCAGGTGGTTCTGCTCGTCTGACGTGTGCGTGCCGAGGACCAGCCTGTGGACGCTGAAGTCCTTCCCTTCGGGTCTGCAGCATGAGAAATCGGCACCACGTCAACCACAATGGACAAATTCCAAGAGTCTGAGCCCTAGGTGGCTTTTTCTAAACCTTTTTTTTTTTTGCAGGTGCCATAACGTCGGTATCCAGAAGATAGCTTCTTGGACACAACGGGCTTTAAAAAGCTTTTCTTCAATCTCAAGTTTTAAAATTCAGGTTTCCACTCAAGAGGACACTTCCACAACCATGACTAGAATTCAAAAGACATACACCGTTCCCTCTGGCTACTCCTCTTCTGTGTATTTTACAATTCACGTTAGGTGTTACTCTTCTAGCAAAATTAAAAGAGGAAAGGCAAACGTGTAGCGCTTCTGAACTCGTTCCATTCGAACTTGAAAAAGCACCAGACACACAAGAAAACAGGATACTTAGTTGTAATATTATGTGTCGAACGGAAAACTGAAACTGACACCATGAAGAGATACCATATTGTCCAGAGGACAAACCTGGTGACATCAGGCAGCCACTGAGCAGTCAGACTGGGCCACTCCAACGCGTGTGTCATCACCAGATCGTAAAGAAAGGGCGTGTTCTTCTTCCAGATCTTGTATTCCTCGTTTATCACCCTCTCCTCCACGGCATCATCAAACGCTGCTGTATGAAAACCAAAGGGATGATAATTTTAACGCAAACTAAGAAGCGGAAACTACAGGGAGGTGCAATTTTTTTAAACTGGAACAAGAGTGTGTTAAAATGAGGCACGTCTTTACACAAAGGGTAGTGGGCGTATGGAACGAACCACACAGCCACGCGATGAGGCCGATACCCTGCCTTCTTTCAAGAAACGCCTGGACTAGATCCATAGATCAATTACCTTCTAGCAATCAAACAGAGCTCGAGCTTCCGAATGACCTCCTCAGGTTTATAACGTAGGTAATAACAAAACATGACGTTTTCATACATAACGTCCTCTGTACACCTTAACTTTTTTTAAATTATGATGAAAGCATTCAGGCGTTTACGCTATTACTGCATACATCAAAACGTTTATGCATTTTTATGCTACTCAAAAGTAGAAAAAATAGCAAACAAAAATAATGTTTGTAGTAAAAGCAGCAGATAATACACACTGTTAAGCTATCAGTGCAGACTGAAATGCAAGTACGATAACGTTTATACGTACTCCATATGGAACCCGGCAAGCACACAACTGTCGGCTATAAAAAAAGGAAAGGGCTGTGAAGCCTCTCATGAGATTATTCTCGACACTGATACTGTTTAGGCTCTTCGAGTATCGGCAAACGCAGGAAGCGCAGAGCGAAAACTTTTTCGATAGAAGACTTGACTTTTTCAGGTTGAGCCTAAACTGTAGCGCTAAACCAGTTCACTCAGAAATAAATCCCCTCCCACTTTTAAAAGCGGCATTTAATATCAAAACGGGAAATCCATTAAACCACTGAAAGGGGCCAGCGACATGTCACAGATACCACGCACATTACCAACGAGAACACAATGTCGCGGTCAACCGATGTGTATATGCATCACGCCAACCTAGCCACGGGGAGATCGACTATGCGAGAAGTAGATTAAAATATTTGTTTCTATTCCAGTTTCTTCACTTTTCATTTCATCTTTACTGATTTGCGCAATAAAGGAGGTTAGCTGTCAGTGACGGGGAGTTCAACTCAAAAACTGTCTCGAACACAAAATGGGCCTACGAGACCGACACGATTCATTCATTCCGCGTTTTTTCACACACCGCAGACGGTAAAACGGACAACTTTACAGAACTGAAGGCCTTAATTACCTTCTTTGTCGGCCATGGCGGCGTATCTGGTTGTTTAGCCGCGGCGAGAGATAACAATGGGGGGAAAAAACTGATACAAGACAAACAAGAAAAGAGCTGCTCTTTGTCAGAATGATCGCCTTCGCGCCAACACCACCAGGCTCCGACGGACTTCCGGAAAAATCTGCTGGCCAATCCCGACCTCCGCCGGTCGTGTTCCACTTCAAAATTCCGACTGGAAACTCGGATTCTTTTAGTATTATGTTCCACGTTAAAGATTTTTTTTAAAAAAGTTTGTGTTTTTAAGAAAAAAAACACAAAATATATATTTGTTTTATCAAAATATCTACGTAAGGATTATATTGATGACACAGACAGGAGGGGTGTAGCAGCAATAGTCTCGAACCTACTAGTCAAAGTAACTCGTTTTGCAATGAAATACAATATAAACGTTTTTCGGGTGTTTATCTCGCAACAGCAATTACTTTTAAACACGTGTTTTTTATCTGTTTACCCGACGAATGTAGTTGTATATGTTTTTTGTGAGGTGTAGAATAAGGATGTGCTGTTATTCCACGCTTTAAGGTAAATAAGGAGGAGTGGTTTACTGCATGTAACTTCCTGGTGTGAGTAACAGATGCGTGGTGTTAGTTCAATCGTATGCCCGAGGAAGTGGATACATATTTTCAAATATGAATGATCGGGAACTCGATCTGACAGAGGCGCAGAAGGCGCTAAAAGCGAAATATCCTTCAATCAACAAAAAATATGAATGTAAGTGAGATCGTCTTTCTCTAGGGCCTAGTGTTACAACAGATTCTTTGCTTTCAAGTTCTGTTGCTGTTGTCAGCTGACCAGTGCCAGACTCAAGCTCGTCTTTCTTTACGATCACCACAGTCAACATTTAGATACTTTATTAACACTTAGACATTACATTTATGCCTTATTATATCTTATATGACTTAATGCTTTTGTTTCCTATTAAAAGCCGGCTGGAATTAGAATCTGAGAAAATGGGTGGTGAATTAAATGCGAGCTACACTAGACCTTGATCGCCTATCAGGCTTGTTGCTTTACCTCTTCCTTAATATAAGTTAGAAAATAGGAGTGCTGTCATGTAATGTAATGTTTCTTGCATTAGGAATTCGTCTTTTCGCATACCCCAGCTTTTCTCCATG